CCCGCATTTGCGCCCGCATTACTAGGTAGGTATCCAGGGACGGGCTAGAGATATGGGCCTTGATACTATGAGCATGTCGCTGGGTTCTGTGGGATATGGCTTGTGCGAGGTGGCTGTTTTTAGCAACGGCGGTGTGGCATTTATCTGTGGCAGTGAATAGGATAGGCAAGGCTTTGCGCTGAGAGCTTGTAACGTATTGTAATTGTACTTACTATGTTACGAAGCCCATCTTGCGACACCACCGGGTTATTTTGACGAATCACATTTCGCATTATCTGGACTGAAAATATGCAGTGAATCACTGGGCGATGGCATTTCCACGGCTGAAAGTTTGTGATTAAAGACCTTCAGAATATTATTCTCATAGCTGTCATACTCTTCAGTTCGCATCCGCTTGGAATTCTATAAATGCCGCCTTCTCCTATCAAACTGCATAGTTCCTTGGACTGAATTTCATAAAGGAAGCAACATTCTATCAATCCGGCAGACAACGAAAGCCAAGTCGATTAACATCTCAAAATGTGCCACGATCTGACTATCCATTACATGTGCCCCGTCTGCGGGAATCGGTGGAACTTTGAGAAGCACGGTCTTATGTGCAGAAAGGCCAGCGAAACGAGGAGCAGGCTATTTGCATCTTGCGGGAATGAATATCCAGTGACGTTGTGGAATCAGGAGGAGATCTGTGAAGAGTGTTTGGCGCGTGGTCAACTATATCCTCCGATTGAAGTCGTTATAAGGCGGTAACAGGCTAACAACTTGGGAATGTTACTGATAGGAATATCTTTTTAGCGTACTTACCTACAAATTACGTCTCGTCCAGAGGATTATACTTATGTAATCAGTGACTCCTTATATGTCTTTGCTTTGGGTGATAGCGAGTGCCCTGTCTAGCATTGTTTGCTTGACAAGGCTGCAGTGTCAAACACTGCATTGCATTGCACTCTCGACAAAATGAAGCTATACAAAGAAGTCCAGAATCTTGTTCAGCCAATCTCAACTGCAGGTCTCTCCAGCACCGCCCTCAACCTTTTTCTTCCCTCTAATCCCACAAAACAAATCAACCTCACAGCAACCACGACATCACAACCGCCACCATGTGCGTAGCCATAACCCGCGTCTTCTACTGCATGCGCTGCAACAACGAGATCTACGAAGAAATGGATTGTCAAGAGTGCCCGCTGTACCACCAGTACAAGCGCTGCGGAAAGACGGACGTGAATTTGAGCTTCAAGTGCGAGGCCGAGCTTTGCATCCTGTGCGCCTCGTTTCCGCCGGATAGTCAGGTTCCTTTTTTGTCGCAGCCTCCGCAGGGTAGTACGTCTACTATTATGCGACATTTGAGACTTACGTATGGTCGGCGTTGATAGAGTTTGGGTAGATGTGAGTTATTCTCTAAAGTTGTGTGTTGACATTTGTTGACTCTGTGCAGACTTTGCAACTGCCGCCCGGAATTATACAGACGAACTCAAAACCCAACTGCCAACAAAGCGTTACGGAATGAATATTACAGGCTCTGCTAGAGAGAGAAAGACTGGTGGTCAGATGCGAGGATATCTTGGCTGTTAGGGCGAAGATTGGATCCCTGACGAATTTGCTGCATTTTGGTAGCCAACACCTCAGTCACATTGGACCTTGGGCTAGAGTGTTGCCAGCCCTATCACTGAAACAATACACCCAAGCACTAACAGCTTGTGGTGCTTCAGAGAACACATGATATTGTTCTCTTCGTATCAATGTGTTCAGAACGTCTGCACAATGTGAATATGTCATGTTCAGCACATCAAAGCCATGACACGATTCATGTCTCCATTTTCCTGAGTGCGCCCCTTCCCTTTCACGAACAACATCAATACCAGTCACGGTCGGCTCATCATGATCTCGACTATAAATCCTGCTCGCCTTCTCTCCTTTTCCAAAACAATCCATCCTTCACTTCAATCTCCAACATCCTCCACACTTCACAATCCACTCTTCACCACAAAACCATCCATATCTTCCATCGCTATACTATTCACCATGTGTCGCATGATCAACACTACTGAGGCCTGTGCCAGCTGCGGCAAGACCGTTGGCACGAACCTCAAGCGAGACAACTGCCCGCACTACGGCACTACTAAATGCAAGCAGGATAATGTATATATCACGAAGAAAGTCTCCGCGAGCAACTGCTCTAAGTGCTCAAAGGATGGGGAGAAGAGTGGAAAGAAATGAGGGGGGGTTCTGGTCTGCCTCTGGAGGCGGCAGTTGGGTCCAGTGTTTGATAGCACATCAGATAAGATCGGAGCAGGTCGCCTTGTCATGGAATTAGATAGTCAGTTTCTTGGAAGGGTATTCTAAAGCTGGCTCTTGGGATAATGAAACATTATTAAATTCCGAACTTTTGAATTTTTGTCGTGACCTCCAAACATTCTCACAGGGCTCATAATTCATGCAATGGCCTTTACCTAACTTTTCCTTATTTTTAAAATACTGATTCTTTATCACGGCATCAGATTATTCAGATATGGTGATTGAAAGCTCTTCATGGAAACGTGATGAAGGTTTTTTTCGGCCAAACTCACCCAGAGAACAAGTGACAATTCATAACACTTCATGCTGCTCGACTCACCTGCCCAATGACTTCAGTGTTTAGCGGTCGTTGAACGAGTATATAATCTCGCTCCAAACCCTTCCATCCAGCCCACACAAACGTGCACAACATCTTGCCAACGAGACAACACTCAAACAATCCAGATTAACAACTATTGTTCCAAACTAACAACTTGTATTATTCCTCGCAATGTGCATTGTCTACCACGTCAAGATAACATGCCAAAAATGCAGCAATCATTTTAGAACTGACATGGATCGCCGGAAATGCAATAAAGCAAACAAGGGGGAGCGATGTCTCAAACAATACAGAAATGGGGGTGAGCAAAAGGAGAGCGAGTTGGGATGCAAAGTTTGCAAAACTGCAAAGATGAAGAAGCGATAGCCTGTTAGACTGGAGTGTAGCTAGGTATTTTCGTCTACAGGTTTGTTGCTCTGAAGAGACCTTGGAGTCCTGTGAGTCTTGGTGGCTCAGAATAATTATACAAACGTCGCTTCAGTCATTGAGACTCAACCTTGAATGCGATCAAGTGCTGTTTGAATAAGCAAGATTCAAACGCTCCCAGCAGAACCACAAGTATAAATACCACTGCACCCACCTCCATCCCATCTCCAAGATCTCCATTCCATCTCACCATCCATCCCTTCCCTCTACACTCAAAAACATCCATCATTGTTAAGAACAAACTCTGCACTCAACCATGTGCTTCATTCACACCACCCGGCTCGTCTGCATGAAATGCGGCCATCAAAACCCCGTACCTCGAACAGCCCGTTGCAAGGACGCTGACAACGTTGAAAACCCTTGCAAGAAGCGTCGTATGCAAACCACTACCGTGATCGATTCCTCCAAATGCCCGGAGTGCAAGGCCAAGGCGGCTAAGGCAAAGGAATGCAAGACTGAGGCTGAGGGTGAATGAACGCTACCGGCTTAAGGCTTCAGGAGACATGAGGGGATCAAGTTTGGGCTTTGGCAACAAATGGTGAATTGCGTAGTGAGGCAATCTCAGTAACATTCACAATACGATTTGTTGTCTTTTGTTGATAGCAATGTCTGTGAAACATTGCACAAGTCTGACATGTTGACTCAACCATTCTCTCACCGTGACACATCTGGACACCGACGATAGAATGAAAAAGCCACCGTGACGCTCCAACCCTTCAAGGTCGTTGTGCATATATAATTCCGTAACTCAAGCCCCCTCCGTTCCTATCATATCTCTCCTTGCAGAAATATATCTCCACTCCATCAACATGTGCAACCTAGTCTTTACCAAATACCGCTGCCGAGTCTGCGACCACATCATCGACCATGAAACCGTGACAGAAAAGTGTAACTCTGCCAAGAAATCGGGCAGAGCTTGCGTAAAGCAGAAGATAGTAGCTTCGACTATCCATACAGACCAGAAGAATTGCAAGAACTGCGTTAAGAAGAAGAAGGAGGGTCAGAGGGGAGTTAAGCGTAAGCTTTGGAGGTTTGGTTTTGGGGTCTAGATAGACCATATTCGCCTAAGAGCCTTGGATAGGTAGTGCATTACTCACCAGGCTCTTGCCTTTGATTTCTCGGTGACGCTGTATGTCTTGGGCTGAGGGTTTGTGGAAGGCAGCGCCCGCAGTTCGTGATACAGAGCACGGTATTCGGTAACTTGACGGTTCTTCGGTGAAACACATCAAGATAAGGACTTTACATAAACAGCAGATCAGCTTCTTTTACCTCATTCACCTCTTGATAATAACATATCAACTCTCTCTTTTTACCCTTCTCACCAACCAGGAGATCCAAATGTGTACTATCCAGAGTACGGGCTATCTCTGCAGGAAGTGCTCCTACCTCGTCTCCATGCCCCTGGAAGAAATAAAATGCGCTCATTTTCTTGAAAAGAGATCCGGTATTTGCGTTATGACAACAAGGCATGATACCATCTATGTTCATGAGGAGGAGTGTTTGCAGTGCAAGGAGGCGAGAACAAACGCGAAGGGCAAAGGGAAGGCGGATAGTTGATTTGTTTGGTCGGAGGACGAGTTCAGGGTTGTCGTGTTCTGTATGAACTAACATCCAAACGACAACGTCATGGTCTGGGGTCAGTTCGATATCTTGTTCGTATGAACGAAAGGCTCTGTACTGGAACTGCCGAAGTGCCCAGCTTGTAGCTCCTTGTTCTGGGCGAACATCAATCCCTTCAACACTTTTCTGCGACCAACGCAGAATCTCCTACGTAGCCCTGAACACATAAATAAACCATCGCTTTTCGCTCTTATAAATACGGCAGGTTTCCCTCCTTGAAAATTACCGTATCACATCAACACATCATCCACAAACATCCTCAACTAGCACAAAGAGTCAACCCCCCGCAAACACAAACAAAACATCACAAACAAAACATCCTGACCAAACCAAACTCACCGACATGTGCCAACTATCCAGCACCGCTACCATTTGCGAATCCTGCCGCCATCTCATCAGCTACACCTCCAACAAACACTTCTGCCCTCTTGTCATGAACCCCGTGACGAGGATCCCCATTGAAGAGATGGAGGACAGAGCGTGTCTTGAAGAGCCAGAGGATTTCATTTGTTATGTTTCTAGACAGTTTTGCAAGCGTTGCGAGGATAAGATGGCCAATGCTGAGGTCAGTCAGCCTTGCAAGCGTTGTGAGGACAAGGCAGCCACTGTTGAAGTCAGTCAATTTTGCAAGCATTGTGAGGGTAAGCCAGCCAATTTTTACGAGGATAATACAGTCAATATTGAGGCCAGTCAGTTTTGCAGGCACTGCGAGGAGAACACAGCGAATGTTGAGGTGAGTCAGCCTTGCAAGCAGTGCGAGGATAAGACGGCCATTGTTGAGGTCTAAGGTTGGAAGTGGAGATTGCCCAACCCCGGAGTTTTACTTGAGGCGGAGTTCCCGTCGCTGAGCCGGAAGCTTGTGAGAGAGCGAAGGCTACCTAGATTTCATTGGGCAAGGTGAGCTTTGAGGACGGTTACACTGAAGGAAGATCTTTAGTTGGGCCTTTGTTTGTTCATTGGTCTTGGTTATATCATTAGATAAATAAAACAGAATACCTGTATTGGTCTCTGTGACGTGATATCAATTAAACGTGAAATTGAAGGCTGAAAAGTAATCGTTACATCTTGTCAGCTACCGAGATCATTATAATCCCCGGTCAGCACTCTAATCTCACCACTGGCCTCGTGTAAGTCTGCGATACCGGCTCTGTCTTTAACATCTCCATTCTTTCAACAATTAATCTCAACATTGCGGGAATCCATCACTCACCGAAAGTCCGGTAGAACGGTTCTAACAATTTCTTCCAGCAGGGATCGCCATGGCCAATTCCGAGGCTACTCTCAAAACATCGTCACATCCGGGCCAACGATGAACGCTGCCAACTTCCTTACTCAGAAATGTGGCACCTCCACATTTCATCGAGTCAGAAGAACCCAATTTCTCCAATGTAACCCCCAGAACGAACATAACCACGAGACTGGGAAAAGGTCGATTGACTTTTCGGATGTAAACATAATCCCGAGTCACCTCGTGGCTGTCCATGATGGGAATAAAGTCATGCACCTTTGGAATACAATGGCCGAGTATACACCGATTCAAAAAGAGTATCAAAGCACAGCGGCACTTATAAACGGGAGTTTTAGAGAACTATCGTCCGAGATGCGGAACTAAATACGAAGGTATTAGTGATAGCAATTGAATTGTCGTGTGGCTGATAACGTTAGGACCCAGATAAAATACATTTCGTCCCGTCATCATGGCCTGAACGGTAACGACTCCGGGCCGAAGCCACTGTAACATCAGCGTCACCGGCCACTGCACTGGGTCGATAAACGGGTTCACATTATCGTGGAGAAGGCCGGGAAAAAAGACTCATAACCTTGAATTTGACAGCTACAGGGGAGAAACCAAGGTTCAAGTGTGATCAGCACCTGTTTCTAGGTATACAGTTCGTATGAGTTTGTTGATTCCGATCAACGTTAAAAAGCTACCCAATTTCTCCGCATGAACGAAGCGTGCGAGTCCACAACAGGGCCGATTTGAATTGCGGAGAAGAAGCTGTCTCCCCCAGACTCTCAACCATCCCCGGCAATTGAGATGAATAGGCTAACTCAATTGACAAAAAGCCCAGTATAAACTTGATTGGGAGAACTTCGGATCCTCGGTCAGATAGCGGCCGTATTATTCATCCTGTGGAGTGGTAAACCTGGGGCATGACACCATCACCAACAGTCGGGGATATCTTCCATTGGACGCACCGGCTAAGCTGCGGTAGATCTGAGGAAGTGAGAGTTCGCCGATGGAGATTAAACTGGGAATGGCATCACACGCATCGTTGAAAGTGAAAGGACAATACTACTCCGCATCGTTCATGTGAGCTAGTGAGTCGTTTTTTTTCCTTGTGCGGGGGAGCAAAGTAATTGAAGCCGACGCTAACACTTACGGATTTTTTACAATGACGCAGACACGCGAGTTTTTTGTATGGGAGGAGCAAGAGGTTGGACTGGTGATCGCCGAGGGAGAGGGAAAGTGTAGCCGGTGCTGGGGATATATAAGTTGTAGCTGATGGCCTCACAAAAGAGAAGAGAGATCATCACCAGTGAGCGCCATTCATCTTTTACTCTCTCACAATGGCTAGCATTCGATCTGTGTTGGTCTCGGGTCTCTTGGCCGCGGGTGTTAATGCCCAGGCCTACGATTCGAGTGATCGGGCTGAAGATGCTTTTAGCTGGGTTCAGCCTAAGAACACCACTATTCTTGGACAGTACGGCCATTCGCCTCACTTCCCTGCCAGTATGTTTCACCAACTCCGTCGACTGAGGTGAAGTTATACTGACGATTAACTATAGGCAATGCTACTGGCAAGGGCTGGGAAGATGCCTTCGCCAAGGCCCAAGACTTTGTCTCCCAACTGACCCTCGAGGAAAAGGCCGACATGGTCACAGGAACTCCAGGTCCTTGCGTCGGCAACATCGTCGCCATTCCCCGTCTCAACTTCAAGGGCCTATGTCTGCACGACGGTCCCCTCGCCATCCGTGTAGCAGACTACGCCAGTGTTTTCCCCGCTGGTGTATCAGCTGCTTCATCATGGGACAAGGACCTCCTCTATCAGCGCGGCCTCGCAATGGGTCAAGAGTTCAAGGCCAAGGGTGCTCACATCCTCCTCGGTCCTGTAGCCGGTCCTCTTGGACGGTCGGCGTACTCTGGTCGTAACTGGGAGGGTTTCTCGCCGGATCCTTACCTCACTGGTATTGCCATGGAGGAGACTATTATGGGACATCAGGACGCTGGTGTTCAGGCTACTGCGAAGCACTTTATCGGTAACGAGCAGGAGGTCATGCGCAACCCTACTTTTGTCAAGGATGGGTATATCGGTGAGGTTGACAAGGAGGCTCTTTCATCTAACATGGATGATCGAACCATGCACGAGCTTTACCTCTGGCCTTTTGCCAATGCTGTTCATGCCAAGGCTTCAAGCATGATGTGCTCGTACCAGCGTCTCAACGGCTCCTACGGCTGCCAGAACTCAAAGGTTCTCAACGGCATCCTTCGAGATGAGCTCGGTTTCCAGGGCTACGTCATGTCCGATTGGGGTGCTACCCACTCCGGTGTTGCTGCCATCAACAGCGGTCTTGACATGGACATGCCCGGTGGTATTGGTGCTTATGGCATGTACTTCACCAAGTCTTTCTTCGGCGGCAACCTCACCCGCGCCGTCAACAACGGCACCCTCGACGAGACCCGCGTTAACGACATGATCACCCGCATCATGACTCCCTATTTCTGGCTCGGCCAGGACAAGGACTATCCCTCCGTCGACCCCTCCAGCGGCGATCTCAACACCTTCAGCCCCAAGAGCACCTGGTTCCGCGACTTCAACCTCACTGGCGAGCGAAGCCGTGACGTCCGCGGTAACCACGGCGACTTGATCCGCAAGCACGGCGCCGAGTCTACTGTCCTTCTCAAGAACGAGAAGAACGCCCTTCCCCTCAAGAAGCCCAAGTCCATCGCCGTCTTTGGAAACGATGCTGGTGATATCACTGAGGGCTTCTATAACCAGAATGACTACGAGTTTGGCACTCTCGTCGCTGGTGGTGGTTCCGGAACTGGTCGTTTGACATACCTTGTTTCGCCTCTTACTGCCATCAATGCTCGTGCTAAGCAGGATGGCACTCTTGTTCAGCAGTGGATGAACAACACTCTTATTGCTACCACCAACGTCACTGATCTCTGGATCCCTGCTACTCCTGATGTCTGCCTCGTCTTCTTGAAGACTTGGGCTGAGGAGGCTGCTGACCGTGAGCACCTTTCCGTTGACTGGGATGGTAACGATGTTGTCGAGTCTGTTGCCAAGTACTGCAACAACACTGTCGTCGTCACTCACTCTTCCGGTATCAACACTCTTCCTTGGGCTGACCACCCCAACGTCACCGCTATTCTCGCTGCCCACTTCCCCGGTCAGGAGTCCGGTAACTCCCTCGTTGATCTCCTCTACGGCGATGTCAACCCCTCTGGTCGTCTTCCCTACACCATCGCCTTCAACGGCACCGACTACAACGCTCCCCCCACCACTGCCGTCAACACCACCGGCAAGGAGGACTGGCAGTCTTGGTTCGACGAGAAGCTCGAGATTGACTACCGCTACTTTGACGCACACAACATCTCGGTCCGCTACGAATTCGGCTTCGGTCTTTCCTACTCCACCTTCGAAATCTCCGACATCTCCGCTGAGCCGCTCGCATCCGATATCACCTCCCAGCCCGAGGACCTCCCCGTGCAGCCCGGTGGCAACCCCGCCCTCTGGGAGACCGTCTACAACGTGACCGTCTCCGTCTCCAACACAGGCAAGGTCGACGGCGCCACTGTTGCCCAGCTCTACGTGACGTTCCCCGACAGCGCTCCTGCCGGTACACCACCTAAGCAGCTCCGTGGCTTTGACAAGGTCTTCCTTGAGGCTGGCGAGAGTAAGAGTGTCAGCTTTGAGCTGATGCGCCGTGATCTCAGCTACTGGGATATCATTTCTCAGAAGTGGCTTATCCCTGAGGGAGAGTTTACTATTCGTGTTGGATTCAGCAGTCGGGACTTAAAGGAGGAGACAAAGGTTACTGTTGTTGAGGCGTAACAAGTTTATGATGTATGAGATATGCCCTAATTACCCAGATAGAAAATCCACGTTAATATTAGTTCAAAGCTGCTTGTTCCCTGTGATAGTGTTAATGAGTAGCAAGCATCAGGGTACCTCCCGCAGTGCTAGTAATCTTTCCCTACCTACCTAGGGCCTGCAGTGTTTGATAGGTAAGATAGGTAGGTAGGTAAGTAGCCATGAAGGCTGTTACCAAGCCAGCCTGAAGGTGCCTTCTGTTTTGGCAAATCTTTCTATCATTTAGGATCAAGGCCTGTGTTGCGAGTTTGCGTACTATTTTTCACCGGCAGTGGGCAGAGCGTTGGGGAGTAACACCTCTACCCGACAACAGACCCCGTTAGTACGCGAGGGTGGAAATGCTGTACAGTGAGACTGATCCCGAGCTGAAATGGGACCTGAGGCCATGGTAATTGGGGATACGAGAGGTGATGTCGGTGTATCAGGACGATGTGGCACTTCAGCGATTAGCTCGCAGCGTTGAAAATAGAACTAGAAATCACTTTCATCCCATCAGTTGTTCGTTGGTTGCACGAGTTGCTTTGAGCCTCAACTGACAAGACTGCTCTTTGTCCATTATGCGATGAGTGATGAGTGAACATTACAGCGACAGACAGTAACGTATAGCTGATGCCCCTTTGTTCAAATACTGAATAAAAGAACAGTATATATTCACTGAACTCGATGTCAATACCCGATAAGTGAG